ACACACACACACACACACACACACGCTCATACAGATATGCTTACAAGCTCACACAGTGAACTCACTCTGTACCACATACACTCACTCAAGACTGTCACACATACACACAGCTCAGATTCATACATACTTTCAAATATACATACACACACTTATATACAGACATACTCACACACCTACTTTCAATCACACACTCACACACACACATAGTTTCAAAAACACGTTCACACAGATAAGCATACACATACATAATCACACGCGCGCACCAGAACGGACACTTTGGTTTACTGAAAAGAGGCGCAGGGACTAACCTGCCACTGTGTGCCCCCCTCTTGGGACCTCGGATCCCCATGTGAGGGTGAACCATGATATTCCCTGAGGGAGCCTGGCCTGTGCTGATTGCCTCTGCGGGTGGCACTCAGCCCAGAGCCAGGCACGGAGCAACAGCTCGGCGAGTGTTTAACAAAGTGAACTGGACTCGCCCCCACACTCGGTGCGCTCACCGTGGAGTCACACGCTAGGTATGTCTCCTCCACTCGTGTGCTGCATACATAAGCACACATGCGTGTCACATACACTCATGCACACTAACACACACTCGTCACACACACCTCCACGATGACGTCATCCCATGCCCTCAGAGCCCCAGCCCCTGGCCCCCAGCCTGGCCGCAGATTCTCTGTCCAGGCACCAGCTAATGGCGGAACAGACAATTCTTCAAGCTGCTAATGGATGCGGGGGTAGAGGGGCGCAGGAGCGGGCGACTGCAAGATGGATGCTGCGGAGGGGAAGGCTGAGTTTCTTGTCTCTGCCGGTGGAGACGAGGGTGGAGCGGGGAGTCGATGAGGCATTCAGAGCCTCCCCCCATGACTCGCTCCAACCTGCCGAGCACCAGGTGGTGACAGGTGGTGCCCGGGGCCTGAGCGCCAGGTGGAGTCATGCACCAGCAGCCCCATGATGTGCCCCATAAAACCCAATCTCCAGTCCTGATGTCCCCAAGCAGCCTCCAGACTCCAATGAAGGCAATGGGATGGGAAAAGAGGCTGCAGCGTGTGTCTGTGTGTTTGCGCGTGTGGCTGGGGGGACCCGGGCGGGGGGCACCTGGGGGTTGCCCTGCTTTTGTGGGACCACATGGAGAAGTGGTCTGTGTACCCTCTCTAACAAAGGTCACACAGACCCTTTATACGTGGCCCCGAGGCGTCTCAGGAGGCCCCCTCCCGACCCCCGAACTGCCATTTTTGGGCCGTGTGACCTGAGCAAACCCCCCACCGCTCTGAAGCGCAGTTTCCGCATCTGTAAAGTGGGACAGCCTCCCCAACGAACAGGATTGCTCCCCCTCCACACTATGGACATTTTGGCAGGGTAATTCCACCTACTAGACGCCAGCAGCACACCCTCCCCACCAAACCCAGGGCCAAAAATGTCTCCCGACATTGTCAAATAGCCCTGGGGACACAATCAGTTGAGAACCACGGTGTGGAGTTTCATCTCATGAGAATCCCAGGTGACAGTGACAGTCCCTACCGTCGATGAGCGTGTACCTGTGCCTGGCTCTGCACTGAGTACCTGAAGGGAACTGTCCCACTTAATCCTCTCAGGAGCCTATGAGGACGGTGCTGTGATTACCCCCGTTTTACGGAAGAGGGGATGGAATCAGGGAGAGGCCAAGCACTTGACCAGGTCTCACATGTAGAAAGCGCACAGCCAGGATTGAAGCAGGAACTCCGGGGCCGCGTCCATGCTCTGACCTGCTCTGCTGGCACAGAGTAAGGAAGGAGGGTCCCTACCCAGCCTGCCTTGCATCCCCCCCCCCCCCCCCCGCCCAGCACATGGCACAAGGGTAGAGCCCAGGCCTCTGACAGAGGGGTGCCGTTTAGGTGGTCCTGTGTAAGCCCCTGGAACATTCTTGCTCTTCTCGGTCCCAACCAGGCAAGCTGTTTTTTCCAGTCATGCAGCAGGTCCTTCTTGGTCTACCCCTTCCCCTCCTATTCCTGCTCCTCAACACTGTGGTCGTGAGGGGCTGTTGTGTCCTCTGCCTCTGGGAGGTGGTGGAAAGAGACAAAGAGTAGAATGGACAATAGAGGAGAAGATAAAGGATGAAGACAGAGAGGGAAGGAGATGATAGAGATATAGAGATAGAGATAGAGATAGAGAAGGAAAGTGTAAGAAAGAGAGAGAAAGAGAGAAGAAAAGGGAACCTGGGAAAAGAGATGGACAGAAACCTGGTGAGAGGCAGGAGGGAAAGGGACAAGAGGAAAGGGACACCCACATGGAGACAGGAGAGCAAGG